GATTTCTCCGATACTGCTGCCTATAGCAGAGTTGGGCTGTGGCAGATAGCAGTAGAAACACAGTTCCTACTGTCTGGGACTCCCTTAGCCCAGTCCTGAGAAACAACTAGTAAGGTAGCTGTAGACACTGCCATCTTTCTTCCTCTAGAATGCTGCTATGCCAGCATGTAGTGTTTGTTATGGATAGTGCCTAGAGACTAGTGATAATGTAGCTCGCAGTGGCCATAGCTGCCTCCCTTGGCACTTGTTTAAAAATGAAATAAAAAGGTGCTGGAATCACCTGTGGTTGACATTTGCCCAGCTTTGCAGTATGCTGATGTCGTGCATGAAAACCAATAGAATTATCGAGCACTTCAGAGGGAGTGTGCGAGACAGCTATTGCAAGAACAGTTTGTGCCAGACACTCCAGATAAAGTGGTGGGACAACTAGTAGGATTTTAGGATGTATAAATTACTAGCAGCCTCATGCCCAGCATTCCCTGGAAGTTCTAAGAAACTTCTGAAATCAGTGGTAAAAATCAGTATCGATTGGAAAGTTTCAGTCCACCACCTTGATTCAAAATGGTGTCCAATTGTATCTAAGCACAGACTAAAGCCTGCTCATTGAATTCAGGAACCATCTCACCAAATTTGTTTGCAATGGATTAAACGGTGTCCAAATGCATAGAGAACAAATAGCTTTCTGAAATAAATAGTACATGTACCTCCCATGTGTATGAAACTGATTTTTAATAACATCTTTTTAGAGTTTATATGTGTATCCGGACAAATCGCAGTAGAACATCAGCAAACGGGAACAAACAGTTTTATGTGTCTGCTTGAGCTCTCCATCACACTTTGCTGATCTTTGGCCACTGTGACACGTTTCCACCCCCACACCTTCCATTTTACAAGAGCAGCTGATGAAATGCATCTTGGCCAGTATGTGGGTGTGCTGTAAATTGCTGCTGGATCAATGATGAAGGTGGGTGAGGGATTGTGATTCATGTCTGTACCTGAGTCACCCCCTCTCTCCTGAGGGCTCCTTCTGTCCTCGGAAGCTTAATTACTGCATGTTGTCAGGACTCTGCCTCAATCGAGCTGTAAAAGTCTGGATCATTATTTTTGCAAAAACAATGCATTAACAGCAGCATAACCCTATGCATGCCTACTCAGAAGTAAACCCTGCTTAGTCCAACAAGACTTACTCCTAAGTACAGTGCAGTCCAAACCTTGTCTAATCAGTTGTAGGTTTTATTGAATTCAATGCAACTTACTCCCAGGTAAATGGGTTTAGAATTGCAGCTTCAAGCCTTTATGTCTCATAAACAGAAGACAAAGTTACAAACCTCTTACTGGACTGCACTAATCCAGACTGCAGGATCAGATGATTGAATACTTACCTGCCCCCTCCTTAAAAACAAAACAAAAAAACTTTCCTACATATAGAGAAGCAGTATATTAAGCAGTTTATTAGGGATGAGGGTGCTTTTTTGTTATTCCACAGCCTTCTCTGTTGCTGATTATTTCTAGTTATAGCTATACACCATAATTTAGTTGGGGCTGGATGCATTTCAGTTACTGCTAGTTTATTAGTCGGTGATAACTGTGCTTATATTATGTTGTATTTTAGTATTTTATGATAGGCACCACCTTGAGAGAGTCTTTACTCTTAAAGGCAGGCTATAAAATATTTAAATCAGGAATAGAACACCTGTTAGCCTCTGGATGTTTGGAGTCCAGTTCCCATTAGCTCCTGCCAGTGTGATAGATGGTGAGGTCAGCAGCAGACATCGTGGTGGGGCTGCACTGCCTTCCTGATCTCCTTCTGTCCAAGGAGCTGCATACCAAGATGAAGAAGGGGAGGAGGTATGGTTGGTGTGATGCAAATGTGCTAGCAGAGACAATCCAGTGTTTCTGCCAGTGTGCTTGCACCATGCTGACCTCACCCCTCCGGCTTACCCCTTCCACTCTCTGACCCAGTATGCAGCAGCGCCTCTGCTGGAGAGAGGTCGGGTAAGCCCTGCAGCTCCATCATGCTGTCTGCTACTGAGTGAGGGATGATGGAATCACAGTCCAGGAATGTCTGGAGAACGACAGCTTCTCCATTATTTTTAAATAAATAAGGCAGAGTTAGAACCCTCCACTTTTATGTCTAGGGTTTCTTTCGTGCCTAAGGGTTTTATTTTGCAGGCAGTGCAGAGAAAAAAAATCAGTTGTGTGAGCTTCTACCTGCAAAGAACGACCCCTTTATCTGCTCGTTTTGAGGAAGAGGCCTACAGTACACTTGGCATGTGAGGCTTCACAGGACAGTTGATGCTCACTGATTCATTTTGCAGGTATCAAAAGCAGAAGGGAACACAAATGTCAATTTGCAAACAGTCAACAACTCACGCATTGCACCCAAACAGCAGCATCACAGTTAAAACATGGCCCTCAGTTACTCAATGATAAGCAAACCTTTGTATACTTTTGTCAATGTTTACTACCCACTTCTTGTTTGAAAACTGTGGTTTAAAACATGAGTGGCAAATACTAAAAAAATAAATAGAAATTTAAAACTCCCACAATGTGCTATTAAGTGCTAGGTCAGCAGGACGGCCCTTTCCTTCTTGAGTAGTGCCATAGGAGGAACTCCTTCAGGAATGTGTGAAGAGACATGCGCCATCAGAATGGGCTAAGCAAAGACATTTAATTAAAAGGAGAAAATATTTTTTCCAAAATAATGAACCAGCTCAGTGGTTCAAGGCAGCTCAGTGATTTTTATTTTTTAAACGAGGTCCTGGCACAGTACTGATACACTGTATAATGCCTCACCCTTCCTCTCTTCCTGTGCCCTTCCTCTATTGAATATGTGATGAACTTTTAATTAAAAAGCTGATAATAAAAAACATAATAAAAATAAGTTTAATCATTTTATAGATACCTTTTCCCCAGCATACTTCAGGGCTGAATTGAGTCTATTACATTTTATCCCATTAAAAGCTTGCCTCCTCTTCAGGCTCCTCTACCACAGTAGCTGAAGGCCTCTCAAAAGGTGCTGGTACTCTGTACTGTCAAGCAGAGCAAGGACTGGAGTCCAAGGCTGAAAAAATTGTTGGATCCATCTACCTTCTACTTCTTTATGCCTGGCTCCAGGAAGGCTGGATCCATGCAAGGCAGGATGCAACAGGGTCTAATTAACTCAAGGAGCCAACGAGAACAGGTGCAACACAGCAGAAATAGGGAGGGAGTGTGACACACACATGTGTGAAACAAGCTGCGCTCCAACCATAAAAAGGCAGCAGAAATCAAAAGATCTCTACTGCGCTTCCAAAAGATGTTCTGAATTTGGCAAGTGTCCAGGAAACAGACAACATCAAAACCACTTTTCTACATTCCTTTGTCTCCCGAATCTAAGTCATAAATTGCAGAATCAAATGGGTTACCTTCTTGAAGATTGCAAATTGCAAAGGTGAATGTAATCTCACCTTCCCATGTGTGTGATCAGCCTCCTGGGGAAAGTTTTTTGGTGGAACCTTCTAGAAAATTTTGTTGGCTTCATATATAAAGATGAAAGCGGCACCAAGTGGGATAAATAGCTAAAGAATAAAGTTGTACAGGCATATTTAACACCCTTTAAAGCCAGGGATGTGGCTCCCCAGAGGTTGTTGGTGAAGTGGTAGAGCAGGGGCAGACTTTGGTAATACGGTGCTCCAAGTGAGGACAAACATTGGCACCCCTCCCTAAATATCTCATCATCACCATGCTCCCCCAGCTTAGGGCCTGTGTGGGAGAACCTCCTGCACCTCCCTAAATCTGGTGCTGTGTAGAGCCTCTGATTTGCATACAGAAGGTGCCGTGTTCAACTTCCAACATCTCCAGATAGGGCCAGGAGAAGACCATGCCTGAAATCCTGCAGCATCTGGAGGACCATAAGTTTCTCACCCTTGTAAACAATGGGCTATACCCAATGGTGGCTTTACACAAGTGGGAAGCATTTGCATACATGCAAAGCAGGGCACCCAATTTTCACCAGTCTTCTAATGCAGCCCTATGCACCATCTCCCATCTGTTTCAGAAGTTTCCCCAAGTTCAGGAGGTCCTTTTTGGGAGGCATGCTAAGCTGCAGTGGCTAGGGTAGATAATAAAAAACCAGATGCCCCACTTTTAGCAAACACTAGTACTTTCTTCTAGTGCAGATGTGAGGAATATTTGGTTCGCCATGTGTTGCTGCATTACAGCTCTCACAATCACTGGCCATTGGCCATCCTTCCTAATGCTGATGGGAGTTGTAGTTCAGAAATGTCTGGAGGCCAAAGATTCCTTAATCCCGCTCTGGTGAGATACCACTAATGGACACAACACCATGTTAGAGAGTATTTTTTATGAGGCATTGAAATCAAAGCATCATGTCATAACTTGAACTATGTGGGAATCAGATCCATCCATGGACAGCCATGTCTGGAAGAATATGCGATCAAAGATGAATAGAAAATGTTATGGCAGGGTGGGGAGTATTGATAAAAGCAAACAAACCCAGAACTAATGGGGAATGTTTGCACAGCCACCATATTGTCACCTGTTATTATCTTATAAGTGATAATTCCTGGGGAACCAGAGAAAGAACTGTGAGAGTTTACATCACCCAAATTAGGTTGCCACTATTCCTTAGATTTTGCCTGTTTGTTTATGCATTAGAAAAGAGACTTTTACTTTGTATTGTGTCTCATCATCATATCCTTTCCCCCACCGAAATGCTGCTTCCGTTTCTTGAAATTATGTTCTCTCTCTTTGATATCTCTTGTGAACTACATAAACTATGAAACATCTGGATTGGATAAACTAAACCTTTTCTGGGGTAAATATTTGCATATTCAGTGTTTGGTAACCTTTGACTAAGATGTAACACTTTCTCCACTTTTTCTTTCCATATACAAATTGTCCCATCTGTTTTGCATTTAACTCACATATCCAAAACTGAAATGCTCATTGTACTAAATCTTCCGAAATCATTTGCAAACAACAAACATCCATTATTTCATCTTACATTTAGAAGAGTTTAAAAACATACAGTGTGCAGTCAAATCCTATGAGTGTTTACTGAGAGGTAATTCCACTGTGTTCAGTGGAGTTACTCTATATCCAGTGGATTTAGGATTGTAGATTAACCTGATGGAACAGACTAATCATCCATCTATAATGCATTTAAGAGAAATAGCTATGGCGCTGGAGGCTAGCTCAGAGGTGTGGTCTGGTTGGTGAAGTTGACTACAGTGGTACCTCTGGTTAAGAACTTAATTCGTTCTGGAGGGCCGTTCTTAACTTGGAACTGTTCTTAACCTGAAGCACCACTTTAGCTAATGGGGCCTCCCGCTGCCGCCGCGTCGCCACTGCGCAATTTCTGTTCTCATCCTGAAGCAAAGTTCTTAACCCGAGGTACTATTTCTGGGTTAGTGGAGTCTGTAACCTGAAGCGTCTGTAACCTGAAGTGTCTGTAACCCGAGGTACCACTGTACTACTTTATGTGGGCTCCCAAGTCTCATCAGAGGTAAAGTTTGTTAACCTTCAACTCAGCTTGTAGTGAAATTCTGCATAAACAATAAAGGCAACATACCATCTTGCTCAGGATTTCACACATTGGCCAGCAAGATGCCTCCAGGGAGTCCATGGGCATGGCAGAAAGGCATGGCTCTTTCTCATTGTAGGTCCCTAACATTCAATATGCAGAAATATATATGCATATTCCATTTTAGTTATCATGGCTTGATAGCCTTTGAAACATCTATGATCCATGAAATTATCCAGCCTGGAAGTGGGGAACCTATGGCCTTCAGATGTTCTTAGATTCCACCTCCTGTCAGCCCCAATCATCAGGGATGGTGGGAGTTGTGTTGCAAACACACCTGGAGGGCCACACCACGCCTAACCCTTTTCAAAGTCATCTAAGTAGTGGCTACATCCTTTGGCTGTTGAGTTCCACATGTTAAATACTTTGCATCGTGATCATCTGTTCTTTACACTTTAGTCCATCCCACTGAGTTCAGTGTACTTACTCCTAAGAAAATATGCATAAAAATTGAAGCCTTACTAGGTATTTTACTTTTGTTGTTGCTAAAAATGTATATATATTTGTTTCTTCAGGACACCCAGACCTAATACTGAGGCAATGAGGACAACAATGAGACTAGAAGCAATGAGGATAGCAAGACACTGGAGGTGGGTGGATTCCCTCCCCTGCACAGCAACAGACATACACAACAAGAAAATGCAAAATTGAGAGGAAGGAAGCACTTACACTGTGATATCTTGCTGGGTGCCATTGCTTCAAACGTGTTTCTCTTCAAACACTATGAGGAAAGGTTGCAGCATTTGGACTTTTAGAGAAAAGATGAGTGAGAGGCAACATGACAGAAGTGTATTACATTATGCATGCCATGAAGAAAGTGGATAGAATAAAGTTTCTCTCCTTATTTCATAACCCTAGAACTCATGGGGACATCCAATGAAACTGAATGTTGGAAGATTCAAGATAGATAAAAGAAATACTTCTTCACACAGTGCATAGCTAAAGCATGACACTCGCCCACACAGGAGGCATTGATGGCCACCAACTTGGATAGTTTTATTGTTTCTGTTTTTTCAAAATAATTTTTATTTGGTTTTACAAATTTAAAATTATAGTAATACCACAACACATCCACAATCAGAACTTCCCACCTTCCCCTCCATGGGTTCTGTTGTTACACCTTTTCTACGGCATCTTTTTATTTCAATTGTCAAGGTTTTTTATAACTCCTTTATGTCCATAGCTCTCGTTACAAGTGTTATTGCAATCCTGCTAGTGTTATCAACTGTTTAACAGTGGTCTCCAAGGTAAATTATAATTTTTCCCCATTCCGTATTAAAGCTTTGGTCTTCCTGGTTCCTGAGCTTTCCAGTCAGTTTTGCCATTTCGGCATAATCCGACAATTTAATTTGGATGGTTTTAAATGAGAATTAGACAAATTCATGGAGGACCAAACTATCCATGGCTACCAGCCATGATGGCTACAGATGTTCTGCCAATAGTTGGAGGCAGTGTGATTCTGAATACCAGTTCCTGTAAACCACGGAAGGGGAGAGTGCATTGCTCTCAGGGTCTGCTTGCAGGCTTCCCATAGGCATTTTGGTGCCCACTGTGAAAACAGGATGCCGCACTAGATGGGCCACTTACCTGACCCAGCAGGCTCATCTTATGTTCTCCTCAGCCTGTGGGGCACACAGTGGAATGAGTTGGTAGTTTGCTGAGATTGTAGAATGGCCAGTCTACTTGAGCCAGAAGGTAGAGGTTATATTTTTCGGTGTTCTCCCAGCATTTAAAATTCAGTGCATGAGACAGGCACAATAAGCACTGGAATCAACTAGAGCAGAGGTGGCCAATGAGGTGCCCTGCATCATCCCAGGCTACCTGGGGCTGATGGGAGTTGTGGTCCAACACCACCTGAAGGGCACAATGTTGGATTTGCATTGCAGCTTTCCCCACTGCAGGGTATGAGTGATACTAGTTTGAGCACACCTTCTCAGTGAAATGGAAGCATATGTGTGGATTTTTGTTGATCAATACCGCTAGCAAGAGATTGCCTTAGACTTCCTGGTTGCAAGAGCTACACGGTGATAATTTAGGCAGTTTATTGGTTCATGGAAGTCTATGAATCAAAGGCTAACATAAGAGCTTAGCTCCAATGCTGTATGGCAGGCTTCCCTCTTAGCAGTTGCTCCTAAATTGTCTAGCGGAGATTACTGACTGTATCCCTTCCGAAGCTCTGAAAATGGTTGCCACGGCAACAGGTAAATGGTTGGTGATTACACATTTGTTTACATTCAATAAACACACTGGCCTGAATACAATTTGTACCTGTGCAACTTCCCCTGGTTATTCTTTTATATACACATAGAATAATAGAATCATGTGACATCAACGTGCAAACAGAACTGCCTCTGTCTAATGGCTCATATTGTTGTCTTCAACCTTGAATCAACCTGATACAGGTACTAGAAAACAGTGAAGCAACTCCATAGCCTCCATGTTAGATGGATACTGTGCTTTTCTTCTGGGGGTACGCAGGAGTACATGTATCCCTAAAGATTTTGTGAATCTAAGTTTGGCCTCATTCAGGGGCAGCATTTCAATAAGAGTAGGAAAATGAGAGTAACCCTAAAAAAATTTTGAGGGGAAAAAGCACTGGATAGATAAATGATAGATAGATAGATATAGATAGATAGATAGATAGATAGATAGATGGTAGACAGATAGATGATAGAGATGATAGGTGTGTGTGAGTGAGAGAGAGAGACAGACACAGAGAGAGAGAAATAACACTTGACATTCTGACACAATGCTTTGATTTAGCATTATTGCCAATGCTCATCAGACAAAATCAAGTGCTCATGAACAGCAATAAACAATCCTTGCCTCAACCCATATATCTTGTGGTTTCTCAGCAGGAATTTTCTTGTATTCCAGAGAACCCCCAGGCTCAGTCTGAAAGATTCCCTGCTATTTTATTTCTGGTTATTTGTCTGAGCCAGTTGCTGCCAAAGAGGCTTCATTATGCCAAATTATATGGCGGGGTTTGGAGAAGTTAGAAAATGAAACTGATACAGTTTAAATATTTAATCTCCGTCATTAAAGCTGAACCCCTTTACAATGACATGACTTGTTATTGCCCCTCTGTTGAATCATTGGGTTTTGTTTAATAAAAGTTGCAATTTATTGCAATTAAACAATAAATTAAAATGTAATACTTTTAAATACAATTGTAGCAGATAGGAGGGCAGTATTTGAATATTAGATTTGTATATTTTTAATCTATCATACGAAGTTTAACATTTGAGGTAGGCCATAATCATATCTTTTTAAAAAAAATCTAATCTCTTACTGTGCCAAAGTTCACTGGCCAGCCTTGTTTGAACATTGCCCAGACTTCTGTAAAGTCCACATGATTGGTCCCATTTAAGAAGTGCTTCCTTTGTGGTTCTCTATTTGTCTCCTTTGTTCCCTGGTTCTTAACCTTGAGATTAGATGAGCCAGTTGAAAGCAATGATGGATTTATGATCAGGGGGTCCTTGTGAACAACCCTAAATAAGCATGACTATGCCCCCAAACATGACAGAGCTTAAGTGCATCAGAATGAGCTAGTTAATACTGTGGCTTATCTTTTTCTCTTTTTACTCTTACATTGTTAAATTGTACTTTTGTTTGTAATTCAGAGAAAATGGTTAGGATTCATTTTGGGCTGTCTTTCTAGAGGCATAGCAACAACAGCAAACAAACAGATCATTTTTGTAAAGAATGGAAACATTTGTAAACAGTGGCTCAGCAAAGATAGTCCAGTGGGCTGAGCATAAGTGAATGAATCAAAGGTGTCGCATTCTAACAAAGTCGCTGCATCTTTCATTTTAATAGTGTGAAGATGCATAGCACTTTCACAGGGATTGTGAGAGACTTGTTGGAGATGGAAAGATAGGTTAAGAACATATTAGGAAGGAGGTTGAAGAAGAAACACTTGTGTCATTGTTACCAAGTGATGTTCCTTTATAACATTGCAAGCAATAAATGATCAACTCCAAAATTAAATCATATGAAAATGGACACTGAGACTTGACACTGATGGGATTTTGGAGAGAGTTATGGGATGGTAACCTACACATGGTGGGGAGCCTTACTCATGTGGGCATCTGCCCCACTTCCAATGGTACTGAGCATCCATAAATGGATGTCAAATTCTGAAAGGCACATTCAAATAAAGCCCAATACACATTGGTTCAGGACACACTTAGTTCCTGGGATAGGTCTATATGGTCCGCGTACATGTGATTGTACAGCCATATGCTCTATTTGAACATTACACAGAAGCATGGACATTGGTGATGTTATAAACAGGCAGGTTCTCTCTCTCTCTCTCTCTCTCTCTCTCTCTCTCTGTGTGTGTGTGTGTGTGTGTGTGTGTTGGCAGGGTAAATATGCTTATGCTTCAGAACATATGTAGGGTTATGGATCTGACTAAGAATGTCTTTCAGTCCAGTCCTATGGTACAGAGAATGTCCAAAATGTTATGGTGGTTGATGTTCACATATGAATGTTGACAAGTTCCACAATGTTCCCAAGCTCAGTGATACACTCATGAGCAGTGACAGTCAGCTAAATGTGATTGGCAGCATTTGCTGAAAAGTAGAGGTATTCATAACATTTATTTGGAGCTGTCATCATCCAGATGTGAATCTGGAATTCACAAACTTTGCACTGATGCATCTATCTATATCTATCTAATCTATCTATATCTATCTATATCTATCTGTCTATATATTATCATCATCTCATCTATCTAGGGTGAAATATTTTTGATCAATAAATAGTAAAACCATAATAATTAATGTTGAAGTACTGAAAACTGCCTAATCCTGAAATAGTAATATTTCACCATGTGAATACAGATTGTGACTTCCCCCTTTTGTGGAATGCTGTCTCCAGGGAGGCTTGCCTGGTCCCTTCATTATACAACTTTAGGTGCCAGGCAAGAGCATTCCTCTTCAACCAGGCCTTTGGCTGATTAACATTCTATATCCTTTTAAATGTGTTATGGGTTTGTTTTGTTCTTGTTTTTATTATGTATTGTTTTTCTTTTAAAAGATTTTTTTCTGAGATCTTTGGATAAAGGGTGGTATACAAATTTAATGAATAAATAATAAAAAATTATTATTTGGAAGACAGCACCTGTGTCCATTCACATCACGGTACAATTTTTGTGGAATGGCCATATAAAAGATTACGTTTTAGGTGAAAGTCTGTTGCTTACTGGTAGAACACATGCATTACATGTAGGACAGGAGGCACTATGGGTGAGAAGTTCCTGTGACTGAGAAATTGGTCAGCTGCCCACCCTGGATGGGGTTGCCCTCCATGTGAAGGATCAGGTTCTCTGTTTGCAGGTGCTTCTGGATCCAGCTCTGTCACAGGAAACTCAGGTTGCTTCAGTGGCTAGATGCGCCTTTTACCAGCTGCGACAGCTCTGGACATTCCTGGACTAAGAGAGCCTGCCCACAGTAGTCCCTGCACTAGTTACTTTACGACTGAATTACTGCAGTGTCCTTGTGCTTGAAGAAGTTATCATTGGGGCTGTTTTTAGCTATCAAGCAAATATGGCTTCAATCCTATGAATCTTTAAGTAAATCTTGCTGAACTCCAAGGAACTTACTTCTGAGCAGGGATTTTGTATAGGATTTGAACTGTTGGCTTCCAAATAGGCATGCTAAGGACTGACGTGAGAGTCTTTAAGGATTTTGTTCTCATTTTTTGTGACGTCTTATAGGACATTTAATTGTAACCTTTCATATTATGGCTGTAAGCGCCTGAATCAATTAGATGTTATTTTTATAAGCCCCAGCCTACAAATTTGCATCTGCAGACATAAGCTGCATGCATCAAGCATTTGCTTGAAAATTCCTTACTCTCCAAGGACCAAGGGTCAGCAAACTTTATCTGCAGGGGGCCAGTCCACTGTCCCTCAGACCTTGTGGGGGGGCCGGACTATATTTTGAAAAATAATAATGAATGAATTCCTATGCCCCACAAATAACTCAGAGATGTGTTTTAAATAAAAGCACATATTCTACTCATGTAAAAATGCCAGACAGGCCCCACAAATAACCCAGAGATGCATTTTAAATAAAAGGACAGATTCTACTCATGTAAAAACACGCTGATTCCTGGACTGTCCACGGGCCAGATTTAGAAGGTGATTGGGTTGGATCCGGCCCCTGGGCCTTAGTTTGCCTACCCATGCTCCAGTCTTTTAGACAATGAATTTATACTATAAATAACTTCAAATGCCCAAAATATTAATTCATCCAGGCTTGAACACAAGGACCACCTTGAATGAAATTACCAAAGGTGAAATTTTACTTATCACATTGTTCACATGATATAAATCAGAGTTGTGGACTCAGAGCCATATTCCCATTGGGGCAAACCTCTGAGGGCCACATGGTGGTGGGTGGGTGGAGCAATGAATGTTAATTTTACCTTTGTTCAACAGAGTTGTATATATATATATGTACACACACCACTCTCTAACCTGAATCAAGGCAAGAAGTATGCTTAACTCCTTTGAGGATCAGTGGCATTTCAGGCTAGCTGCCACCACCCTGGATGCTGTCCCAGTGTGGGAAGGCATACAGGCTTCACTTGGGTCTGCTCACTGAGTATTTAAAGAGGCTTGACCTCATCCTCTGTGTGCAGTTCCTTGTTGGAAAGACGTATTGTCGCAGTTCAAGGCCACATTCTAGCCAGGCAAGCACATAAGGAGGGTGCAAATCAAGTTTGGAGAGCGGGATGGCTTGGGATGTGGCCTGCGGGCCAGATAGCGAGGGCTAGGGGGCCACATTTGGTCCTTGGGCTGGTGGTTCCCCATCTCTGGTTTCAATTAAAGGCCAATTTCAGATGTCTAGGTAGTTTCCATAGGAAGCTGTCATCTGTGTCCAACAGATGTAGGAATGTGCTGCCTTGCAAAATGCAAGTGAAACATTAAAAAGATTAGCATTCACAGTGAGTGGTTTCGCAGAGTCATTTAATAATTGCTCTAGTGAGTGGACAAAAGTAGCTGACTGTCTTTCTACAAGTTCACTTCATAATCTGCCAAGCCAATAAGAGCTCTTGGTAAAGGACCTCACAATGTACTTAGGGCTGAGATATTGATCTAAGCATTGTCTATAAAGAAACCTGAATCCCAGATTTTTGAAAGTGGAGATTTTTATCCATCACCCGAGATTGTTATTTTTTCTCTGCCCAGAAATTTAAAGAAACAGAGTTAATGGATAAAGTACCATTTCCCAGTCACAGGAATTGGATTGACTGGGACAGTGGCAATTAGGGGCAGGAGAAAGGCCTGGGCGGGGCAGGGGGGCGACAGAAATAATTGCACCTGAGAGCAATCAAACAGCAAGCTAAAGACAAGGTGGAAATGTAAACGGGACCATGGAGTGCGCTAAACAGACATGCTTGCTAAGCCACTTAGCTGTGACAGTACAACCAAATTAAATATATAAATATGTATGAGACTGGATGATTGTTCTAAAGATCCATCAGAGTAGTGTTTACTTTCAGAAAGGATTGGGGATACACACACACACTATTATAATAATTATAATTATAATTAAACCGTTACAGCCTACTTCTGATCTTTTGGCTGGCCACTTACATATTACCAAAAAAGAGGATAAAAAAGGTACACATTTGTACAGTAAGCCTGCAACTTATGCACATTCAGATTTATAAAAGGCAAAATGTTTATTTAAAGCAGGCTTCCTCAACCTCGGCCCTCCAGATGTTTTTGGCCTACAACTCCCC